AAAACAGCGAGCTTGCCGAGAGACAGTAGACCCTTAGAGACAACCTTACGCTGACACGTTTGGGCCGTGGTTTTTATTCCCCCGGGGGACTGCCGTGTTGTAAATCTCAATGTACACACCTGATGTTCCACAGTACTTTTTTCACCACCGGAACAACCTGGACATCAATGTTGTGGTTCGTGAAGCGTACCACCTCATGGACACCACCCCCTCCAGCATCCACCCAGAGAGCATGCTGGGTGCCTTTGCCGCGCTGACGCAGGGGCAGTACCCCGTATTCAATCAGTACCCGAGGTTTATTGTGGATTATCAGACGCAAGAGCGAGAGCGAATACGGAACGATGAGCTGGATTTTCTAAGAGAGAGGTAACTATGGAACAGTTCCTTGACGGAAACAGAATATGTTTGTTTTACTAACGCTGTTCAGTTAGGAAGTGTCGATGCAAATGAGAGATGGAGACCAGGGATAGCTTTAACACATAGTCCCATCCTAGAAGTCAACTCAACATCACCTCGCATCACACCTCAACTAGGCAGTAATCAGATGGGCAGCTTATGTTCTGGTTCTTGGGCGTAACATTACTTACCTCTTTCTTCTGGAGTTGTCCTAATAGCAAAGCCTATCACTTACTTAAGGCAGACAATTGAAGACATGCAAGCTGAGGTCGACCAGCAGGAAGCTGAAGATGAAGCTTGGCACCAAAGGCAAGAGCTCCTTCGTAAGGCTGAGGAAACCAGACGAGCACTTCTCTTTCGGGAAGAAGAGAAAATGCTGGAACAAAGACAGCGGTATGTTTTATCAGCCCCCCGGCCCCCACCCACCCCCAAAAGACACGGAATTACGAGCTAGCGCCAAAATGTTCGTTTTCTTTATTGTAAGAGTAACACTTAGCATAAGAATGACAACAGAGCACCACCGTGCTGCCGTAGTCCAGTGAGGCAGAGGCCGAGAGGTGCCATCGGTCCGTTCTGATCCACAGGCGAGAACACCCCCGCCCTGCGCCGTCCTCACCACAGTTCCTGTGCCCGAGCCGTGGCCACAGCGCCCTGTCCGTCCCTCTCGTCAGGGGCCTGGCTCTCTCTCGCTGCCCCTCTGCCTTACCAAGCACGATGTCCTTCTCCAGGGACCGGTCCCTCTGGTTGACAGCGTGCACAGAGTAGGCGAGACCAAGTCTTGCCATCCGTATCGCTAAGAACACTGACCGTGCTTCTTCCAGACAGATTATAAACAGATACTCAAGTGTAAAAAAATCTGTAGGTACCACTTTTCCAAAAATCGGGGTGCCATAAAGGTGGTTAATTCTAAAGCTAATAGACTGCATGTGATAAGAGCTTTGCGTTGACTCAGAAGAGACGCAGCGGCTGTGGCTGTCGGAGGACTTGACTGGAAGCCCTTGTTGGTCACAGTGGGCACGCGGACGTTCTTCTGAACAGGGCCACACAGGTCACCCTCAGTGAACTTGTTTTATTTGTGTGACTTGATAAACACTTGCGCAACTTTTACTTTGGAGGTCCGGGGAAGAAGTATGACGTGCTGTCTCAAAAGAGCTCTGAGCATGAACAGGGTAGCTGGTCGCCGTGGCCCTTTGCCGTCTCCATGAGCCAGGCTTGTGGGGTCTGGGCATTTTCTTCCCTGTGCTGTCATACAGCGGTGTCATAGTGGGTCAGGGTCAGCTCGCAGTGACCTACCTGTAGACGGAGGGGAACTGCCCTTTGGCTTTCCGAGGCTGAAACTGTTCCCTGGAGCAGAAAAGCCGTATCTTCCCCCCTCGGCACAGGTGGGGGATTTGAACCACTGACCTTTTTTTAAAAATCATTTTATTGGGGCACATACAATTCTTATCACAATCCATCCATCCATCCATGGTCTCAAGCACATTTGTACATTTGTTGCCATCATCATTCTCAAAACATTTGCTTTCTGCTTGAACCCTTGGTGAAAAGTTCTTAAATGTTGAGAAGTTATCAAGATTACTGAGATGGGTACAAGGTTTCCAGAATTCTTTTTTTTTATATCATTTTATTGGGGGCTCATACAACTCTCTCACAATCCATACACACATCCGTTGTGTCAAGCACATTTGTGCATTCATTATCCCCATCATCCTCAGAACATTTGCTCTCCACGTAAGCCCCTGGCATCAGCTCCTCATTTTGCCCCCTCCTTCCCCCCTCTCCCTCCTCCCTCATTAACCCTTGATAATTTATAAATTATTATTATTTTGTCCAAGCCGTTTGTTTTTTTAAGATAATTTTATTGGGGCTCTTACAACCATCCAAACATCAATTATATCAAGCATCTTTGCCCATATGTTGCCATCATTGTCTTATAAACGCTGACTTTCTCTCTGAGCCCTTGGCATCAGCTCCTCTTTTCCCCCCTCTCCCACCCTGGTGACCCCTTGATTAATTGCAAATTATTCTTGTTTCCATGTTTTACACCAACCGCTGTCTCCCTTTACCCATGTTTCTGTTGTTTGTCCCTGGGGATGGGGCGGTTGTTAGGTGTTGGTCGTTGTGATTGGTCTCCCCATCCTCCCCTGCTCCCCCCACCTTCCCCCTACCCTCCTGGTATCGCTACAACCATTTCTGTCCTGAGGGGTTTAAGTGACCTGGATTCCGTGTGTTGTGAGCTCTTTATCTGTGCCAGTGTACGTGATCCAGTCTAGCCAGGACTGAAAGGCAGCACTGGGGTCATGCTAGTAGGGGGCGAGGAAGCCTCAAAGCATCAGAGGAATATTGTGTTTCATCGGTGCTATACTGCACCCTATTTGACTCATCCCTTCTGTAAGAGGATGTCCCGTTGTCTGCAGATGGGTTAGGGTTTCTGCTCCGTCTCCCCTCGTTCTCAGCAGTATGTATTTTTGTTGGTTTGTTTTGGGTCTTCGGATACCTGATCCCGTGCATACCTCATGTTCACACACACAGGCAGGTGTGCTTCTTCCATGAGGGCTTGTTGCTTCTCTGCTAGACGGCCGCTTGTTTAACTTCAAGCCTTTAAGGCCCAGACGCTCTATCTTTTCAAACCACCAGGAGCCAATGTAGAACCTCTTATGCCACCAGGGCTTCTGGGATTGGGAAAAAACAGACAAACAGGCAGGCAAGTCTCACACAGAGAGCTCCTGGCCACTTGTGTTGGCCCACATCGACTGGAGAAGTGGGCTTTTCCTGTGAAACCGGGCTATTTTCCCGCTTGAATCCCTGTTGCGAAATGCTGTCTCCATTCCTCCCGACGGGCTTTGTCTCCCCAGCCTGGCAGCTGTGAAGCGAGAGCTGAAGAGAAAGGAAATCCACTTACAAGACGCCACCCGGAGGCGCCTGCTGCAGCAGCAGCTGGACCAGCGCGAGATGGAGCTGAGGCGACTGGACGACGAAATCGAGAGAAAGGTGCCTTCTCCTCGCGGCCTTCTGTCCCTGCCACTACCGCCTGTGGGGGCCACCGTGCCCTGGAGCCCGCAGCCAACACGACTGGCTCCTCCCCTTAGCCATTCCTGCTCCTGCTGGTGTTTCAATAGTGGGGGATTGGGCGGACATCTGTCAAGCTGACGAGCATCCTCGGTGGCTTTTGCTCTAGAAGTACTGGTCAGTGTTCACTAACCGCGGAGTTCGCTGTGAACTAGGACTGTTCTTTTTTGCCTTGGAAATTCACTCGTGGGCTGTAAAAACACGGCCCTTCTTCAGCTTCCCTCGGTTCATTCCCAGAGGTAAAGTGCAAAAGAAGGTGCCTGAATGTGGAGCCTTTCAGACGGCTGTCGCTAGCGAAAGGACTGCCTGGGTGCCCGCTTCTCTTACAGGTGTACAGAGAAGGGGGTGCTTCCCCCCGGCGCCCTGTTTTGGCAGCTTGCTCTTTAAATGTTGGATATTGGATTTTTTTGCTTGTGGTGTTGCACAGATCCAGTTCTGAACTTTCTTATGACGGCGTGCTTCTCCCCCGGCTGTCCCTGGCGCGTGTTTATGTGACTCATGCTTGTACTGGGGCACCGCCGCACCCACTGGTTTCTCTACCCCCTGTGACCGCTTTCGGGCCACAGGTATGGAGTCAAGACAGAAACCAGGGCCCCCAATACGGAAAAGATGTGCACTCTAGCTGTGTGTCCCCCAAAATGTTGGCCAACCCCAGATTTGTCTGGAAATGTAGTGTAAGGTGTGAATTAGGGACCAAGCTCATTTCTTTCCAAAAGGCAGGTCAGTTTCCCCCCTGCAATTGATAGAATGTCACCAAGTCCTTTGCCAGAGATTCCCACCCAGCAGTGTGTTCTCTCACACACGTGTCCATGACCTCGGCCCTTGTCGTGTGCCTCAGCCAGGTCCACCCAGGCTGATGGACGGTCTTTGCAGCATTCGGCAGGTGAGAAGGCCTTCTTTTCCGAGTTTTCCTCAGTATTTTGCAAAAGTTAGTTTTCCAAATAGATTTTGAGAATTTCTCAGTAACCCTTAGGGATGCTATCAGGATTGAACTGAAGTTATGGGTTAATTTAGGGGAGAATTGGCAAGTGGAAATAGTCTATTTCGGGGAACTTCAAGTATGCTTTGGTGAAATAATGAATCTTTTCTCAACCTTTAGGAAAGGCACTTTTAATTCACCTAGATTAGAAATACCTTTTCTTTTTAGGGTTGTTAGGTAGCATGGAGTCAGTGCTGAATCACAGCAATTCCCCTCTCCCTCTTCTCCCCCCACGTACAACAGAGCAAAGAAAGCATTGCCCTGCCCTCTGCCGTTGGCACAGGCACCGCCTCGTGCCAGCCCATTGTCCCCGCCGCTTGTGCAGCCACTCGTCTTGCTCAGGGTCTTCCTCTGTTACGCTAACTCTTTTCCCTAAGCCTGGTCTCCTCCTCCGGGGACCGGTCTCTCCTGAGAACCTTGCCCAAAGTAGCAGGAGATGCTACGTATGTCTTGTTTTATTGTAAGGCCCGTTAGTTTTAAATTGGTTCCTAAATTCTGTGATTCCATTTAATTATCTCAACGAGTGAATGGCATCGCATTATTCTGAGTGTGTGTTTGTCCCAACAACTCATGCAGGCTCAGAATTCTGCCTTCTCTATTCCACACCCTGGGAGGAGAGTTGTTGGCAGAGTCCTGCAGAGCCCTTTTAGGGACATGATCTGGCCTGTGCCCGCCTCCCAGCTCCCCGCCCAATGTTGTCTCTGCCTTCCCTGCCCCATTCCGACAGCAGCTTGGAGCCTCTGCTCCTGTTGGCACTCTGTCCTAGCCCTCGGTCCCCCTGTTCCCACACAGCGTCAAGGCAACCGTAGGGACCTTATGTCCCTAACCACGTGAAGGCAGCTTGCCCTGTGCTTGTGGGCTTACTTGTGAAACACATCACGCTCTCTATTCGCACCACTAAAAAAAGGAAGCCAAATTTTAGGCAGCCAGATATTTTTGAGCAGTGCCTGAGGCTCTAGTTGAGAGCGGCTCTTATTGAAGCCCTCTAGTATACAGGAATGAAAACTGCTGACTGATCACGTTTTAGAAAAAAGGTGCTCGCGAAATCAACTCAGTCCCAGGCCGAGCACGCCCATGTTGAATTGTCCACTGACTGTCAACCAACAGATACTTGTTGCCAAGCTTAATGTATAAAAGTGTAGACGCTAAACCCAAAAGAACATTAAATAAATGTTACCTTTAATTAAACATCAAAATTAGATTAAACTAAAATTTAAATTGTTTAAGTGTTTCTCATTCCAAACATTGGTTACTGTCATCTGGAAGATCAGCCATCTGCTCCCATAGTCTGGGGAGATGAGCATATGGCTGTTGTGCTGGCTTCCCTCCATCCCCCCGAAAACTTACACTGTCACACAGGTTATTTATTCCTAGATACCACATGTTAGTATATTAGAGCATTAATACAGTGTCCGTTTGTCTGGTTTCAAAACCCCAGTTCTGATCCCATGCTGTGAGGGAGTGGTTTACCAGACAGGATTGCCAACTGCTAAGTGTGTTGCGAATGATTGTGCGGATTCCTCTGGGCACTGACGGTTTGCCGCTTGGCCGTAGGTCTATATGAGGGATCAAGAAATCACGACCACCGCCAAAGAGCTGGAGATGAGGAGCCTGGAACTCGAGGCACAGAGGAGGCTTTATGAGAAGGTGGGTGCAGCCTCTTCCGATTGCAGAAAAGTGTGGTTTGTACAAAGCTGCCCGCGGCCCTCGCTCTCTGTGGCTGTGTTACTGCCCGCTGTGTTCTGCAGCAGACTGTCAGGTGTCCGGCAGGGTTGTGGAGTGGTCAGTGTTGGACTTTGTGGGCTTTGTGGTACTCCTTTAATCCATGTTTCTCTCAGCATCTTAGGGCGTCTTTGAAACATCCGATGGAATTGTGATTCAGAACTCACGGGGGGAGACAGGGATGGTGAGGGGCTTGGGGGAGTAAACAATGTATGCGGCAGGCAGGGAGGGAGCCCTAGAACTGATTACACAGCTCTTTTTAAAAATTATTTGACCATGAAAAATGTTCTAGAATTGATTGTGGTAATACTTATACAATTCTTTATATTATTGAACTATTGAATTGTATGAAATATGGATTCTGTGCCAATAAAAAGAAACGAAAGGGGAAAAACCCTCAAAACGCACCAACACAGGGTTGGTTGCGATTCACAGGGTGGAACCGCCCCTGTAGGTTTCTATGAGCCTGTCACTCTTACAGGGGTAGGAAGCCTCATCTTTGTCCTGTCCACAGAGCGGCTGATGGTTTTGAACTGCTGACCTTGCAGTTAGCAGCCAAATGCATAACCTCTATGCCACCAGGCTAGTGGCTGCTGAACTGTCGCAGTAGCTCACAGATTTCCTGTATGGTAGAATAGGCCATCTGTAATTAGATCTGCAAATATTTCCTCCTAATTGTCGGCAAGTCAATTCCAAGTCATAGCAACTCTATAGGACAGAGTGGAACTTGCCCTTGTGGATTTCTGAGGGAATATAAAGCCTCATCTTTCTCCCCTATAGGGCAGAATGTAACTGGGTTTCTGAAGCTGTAGATCTTTACAGGAACAGGAAGCCTCATCTTTCGCCCTTGGGGCGGCTGGTGGTTTCAGACTGAGGACCCTGTGGTTCACAGCCAAGTGCATAACCCACTGGGGCATCGGAAAACATTTGCTTAGTGCCTGCAGTTTTAGTTGGCAAGACACAGGAAAAGGGTCTTTGTTGGTCTAAATATTTTTACCTTGGGAGAAGCTCATTTTTATGAGCAGCAAAAGAGTCTCTGTCTTTGATCCCCATTGGTACCTCATTGCTGCCCATCCATTCATGCGGTGACCATGAGTCTGCGTGTCCTCCAGCCCTCTCCTTACCTCGGGCTGAGGAAATGGGTCTGTGTTGAGACAAAACAGAGAATACTGTGGCCACCTCTCTTACACACAGGAGTTGGACATTCCATGTGTATCAAATTTGGGTACAATTATTTCTCAAATATAAAACAAAGCAAAACCTGACGTGTGGTCCAGACCCCACACCACTCTTCCCTCCCGGGACGTGTTTCAAGTCTCTCGTGTTTTCTTGGCGGAACAGCGGCCTTGACCATGGCTGTAAGGGTTGAATGAGCTGTTAGGGTGTCCTGATTGGTGAGAAGGGCCCACAGGACGCAGCCACGGACGCCACCATTCCAGACTGAAATTAGATTATTACGTACCCTTTTCTCTCGGTGTGTATACTAGCGTTCTGAACAAAGAAAAGTTATTTCTGCGTCTCAGCATTATTACATAGATCTGTGGTTTGGCCGTGTCTTACAAACGGGCTTTGTTTTAACAGAAATTTAGTAGAAATCAAGAAGATGTCGCCAAAGAACTGAGAGCGGAAGCCGATGCCTACAGGCGGAAGGTGGATCTGGAAGAACACATGTTTCACAAGCTCGTAGACACAGAGCACGCTCAAAGCCTGAAAGCTCAGAAGGTACAGAGATAGATGGTCGGTCTCCCAGCCAAGCAGATTCACCAGTGAGCCCCGTAAAATTGAGGTCCCTGCTCGTTTTGCTTCGGTCACCATAGTTGTTGTACGGGATCGACCAGATGCTTAAGAAAAGTGTGTGTGACTTCGTGGAAAGTCACAGCCACCTTTCCTACCCTTTGAGAATGTTCAGACTTACAAGAAAATACAAAGAGAACGGTCACTTTACAAAATGTGTGCTCTGCAGTGTTGGGGCTCAGATGTTAGCCTGGAGCAGATGAGGTTCAGTACATCAGGTCAGCCTTTGCAGAGCCTTTGCAGTCGGTTGCTATGCTGTCCCCGGTAACTGCTGTTCCCGACACAGTTCTGGTCGGGACAGCCTCTTCTCAGCTGTGCCTAAGCAGGCTTCTCTCTGGCCCCTGGCCCCGTGGCCTCTGCCGTGCTCGGGAAGTATTAGAAAGCTCGCTTTCTTTTAAAGCACTGTTGATAAATGCCCAAAGGGCACATCCCTTCACCGGAAGCCTCCGCGGGAAGGAGCTCAGGAGCTGGGCTCTAGCTCCCTGAGTCAGCCATCCTAGCTCCCCATTTAGGTGCCTGGAGACGCCAAGCTCCGGAAGCAGGCCTCCTGTCCGAAGGCGCTCAGTAGGCCCAGAGGAAGCTCGCTGCGCTCTCGCCGGGGCTCTGGTTCCGTTGCTGCTGCTCTGCCATCACAGCTTTCTGTCCCTGGACCCGGGGTTCCGTGCACAGGCACCTCAGAGTCCACAGGACACACTCTACTCCCGCTCTTCTTTCTGGATAGAAGGGAGAGCCCTCACTCTCTGCCTTGCCGCCGCACCGGGTCGCTGTTTACCTGTTGGGATGGATGGCAGAATCGGCCAGTCCCTGTATTAGTGTCCCAGGTTTCTGTGATCACAAATCAGTTCTGTTAACCATCCCTCACTTTTTACCCAGACCCTCGGGAGCGTGGGGGGAGCCATTTGGTGGGAATTACAGAGAGTCTGGCCAGAGGAGCCCATCAAGCAATTCACTGAAGTGCCTCCCTGCTTACCACTTGTGGAATGAGAAGCTGGTAGGGCCCTGTGACCTTTGCCGACATCCGCCCCGTGGCCGGGCCTCCGGAGAGCCCTTGAGTTTTCTTAGAGGTTTTCCCAGCCTGGAATATGTTCCCTTCTGCCTCCTCTTTCCCCCCCCCTCCCCCAAAATGTTGGAAACCTGGATTTTTATTTTTTTTATTTTTTCCCCTTTGGAAACCTGGATCTTGTTGAATCCCACCCATCCCCTAGCTTCTTCCTTCTCCACTTCAGCTGTACCTTGAAGTGTAACAAACGCTTGCAAAGGACCAGAGATGGATTTCCTAGGTTAGGGTTGTTATTATTTTCCGCAGAGCCCGGGTTGAATGTGTCGGTTGGGTGGGCGGCCCTCGTTTTTGGTGGCTGACCTGGTGTCTGACTGACCTGTTGCAGTTACTGGAGGAAAACCTGGCCAGCGCCGAGCAGGCCTGCGTCGATGCGCACTGGCGTATCCAAGCCTTCCAGAAGCAGAGACAGGATGACGTGCAGCGCAGCGAGTGTTACCGCGAAGTCGCCGAGCTCCTCCGGAACCACAGGAGGAAAGAGACGGCGGTGTTAGACGCCATGACGGAGGCGGAGTCGGCAAAGGTAAGGAAGGGGATGCAAACTTACCAGGCCCAACGTTACACTTTGAAATGTGATGTGACGGAACGCCAACATCATCAAACCCAGCACCTCTTCTTGACAGAGATCTTGGGGACCATCTGAGTTTCATAGGTATTGCCCAGGGAGGAAGCCCGGATCAGAATGACAGGGCACGTTTCTCATCCACCTTAGCAAGGCTCCCTGAAGGGGTTCTCGCTGATGGCAATCAAGTGGCGTCCGGTCCATCTAGCTCTTCATACTTTGAACGGAAACCGTTTGGAACGGTGCGGAATTGGGCGTAAATATCAGTTACCCCAAACCCACGGAGCAGTGACCTTGAGCACAGTAGAGTCGACCCCATGGGTGGCACGGCTCCGGGTCCTCAGGGAGCCGGGCTCCGTTGTTCGGTGGAACGTCGTCCCGCACCGTCGCCACAGCTGTCGTGTGTGAGTCCACTGGTGCAGCCGCCAGTCAACCCGTCTTGCCGAGAGTCTTCTTCTAGTTGATGCTCTTGTGCCTTGACGTCCAGAGCACGTGAGGTGAAGTGTCACCATCTTGCTCCCTTCTGGACTCTTCTCCAGCACCAGGATCCAGATGCATCGATCGCTCCTGGAGCTTCCTTATTCACGCAGGTGCGTGAAAATACCCTGGCCTGGGCCAGGCGAGCCTAAGACCTCAAGTCACATCCTTGCTTTTCAACACTGTAAGGAGGGACTTGTGCAGTGGATTTGTACCCAGTGCCGTGAGGCATCACCGAGTCTCTCAACTACTGCTGCCCTGAGCATAGAGCCAGCTCAAGAGCAGCCACACATGGGGCAGAAGAAAACCCTGCTCGCTTCCGGCGCTCTCACCACAGTGCTTCTGTCCGAGTCCTGGAGGGTCCTCCTCGCTTTCCCTGGCCCTCCCAAAGGCCCCCCAGAGATTCCAGGCAGCGGGAAGCAGGTGGAGCAGAAGTGCAAAAGGTTCCCCTGTCTGCCGAATCCAGACTCCACAGCAACCACGTGCACTGCCTTCGAGTCCAGTCCCCGCTCCTCTCGAAGCCCGTCCCAGAAAGCCCACATCATGCTTTGAGCTACACTTGGTTGCAAAGGATGCTGGGAAATGTAGCCATGTGGTTTTTGTTTGTTTAGAGGGGGGTATTGCCCTCCCAAATGAAACAGATGCTGTTCCTACAGAAGTAGCAGTGGACTTTTCAGGAGGCAACTAAGGGTGCTCGTCACACTTACGTGTCCTAAGTCGAAAATCCGCCAGACTTGCCCTTCAACAAGACTAGGGCCGAGACAGCAGATGCTGACCTAGACACAACGCACGTGGACTTCCCCAAGGACGCAGTGGATTCCAGGAGAGCAGGGACTAGAGAGCTGGCGTCCGCCCATGTTCGTTTCCCGTCTTGCTGACCGGTCATAATGTCTGCTCTGGAAGTTGTTCACAGCATCTTGTTTTCAAGTCGTTAGTCCAGATTCACTTTCTCGCTGCCTCATCCCAGTGGTCTGGGGGCCCTGCCTGCCAGACAGGGACAGAGGGCTAGAGGACGGCCCTGCTGCACGTCTTCCAGGCCGAGATTGTGGCCACCAGGGCTGGTCTGCAGGTGGTGTGCGTGTGAAGGGAGACAGTCATTTAAGGGTGGCATGTGTGTCCAGAGCCCTGATTTCTAAAGTGAGTAGCAACTCGGTGACCTTAGGAGGTCATCCAGACGTGGTCCCCTCAAAGGGAGGAGACAGAGGCCTGCTTTATTTTTGCTGAGCTGATTGTAAGGCCGTCTCCTCATTTATGCAGAAGGAGGCGGGACCATAGCAATGCATGACTGTCGTGTGTGGGGGCCTGAGTGGGACCAAGGCTTCCGTCTCTGGTCTCACAGCCTCACAAGGGAGGCATGGCATTCTAGTTAAATCAGCTTCCCCTTACCGTTGCTGTTCCAGCAACTGCTGGTGGGCCCTCGGTGTGCTCAGTGCCCCTGAGGGGCCATCAGTGGGCCTCTGCTTTCACATTTTTCCCACAGCCTGGGTTGAGCCCCACGTGACCATCCATCAATGTATCAGGAGCGCTGTAGGGACTGGGGCAGGGGGTGGGGACAGGGTCCCCTGCGGGAACCCACTTTCTCACAGTTACCGTGTAGTCTTTTGCATTTATTTTTCCCCACTTATTTGTACTAGTGGGACGAAGTCGAAGACAAAGAGTCCCAGCTGAGATCAGGAAAGACAGAGTGTGCCCATTTAGATGGGTCCAGAAGGTGGTTCTTGGAGCAGGAGCTGAGTGAGGCCTTAGGCCACGCCCAACACCCGTGTTGTTTCGAAGGTAAGTGCCCGTGGGCTGTGGCCAGAGGTGGGACTGTGGACAGAACTTCAGTTCACAAATCAGGACTCCCATTTTTTAAAACAGACCACCTCTCTGAACCCACCAGTCATTACTGGGGTCAGCACTCGAGCCCCCAGGTTATGTGGGTAAAACCAGGCTTCCCCCGCAGCCGGTCCTCAGCCGAGGGGTCTGTGAGGGGCACAGGGCAGCCCCGTAGGATCTCCTCGGACAGTGGTCCACATGAGGCTTACAACGATGGCCTCATCAGAATCAAACTGACATGCGGGGCTTAAGAAAGTTCGTGAAAAAGTTCCACGGTCACCTCATTTTATTCTCCACCAACTTTCTTTCTTTTTTTTTTTTCATCGTTTTATTAGGGGCTTATACAACTCTTACCACAATCCATACATACATCAGTTGTGTAAAGTGCAGTTGTACATTCATTTCCCTCAGCATTCTCAAAACATTTGTTCTCCACCTAAGTCTCTGGCATCAGCTCCTCATTTTCCCCCCTCCCTCCCCACTTCCTCCTTCCCTCTTGAACCCTTGATAATTCATAAATTATTATTTTGTCATATCTTGCCCTGTCCGACGTCTCCCTTCACCCACATTTCTGTTGTCCGTCCCCCAGGGAGGAGGTCACATGTAGATCCTTGTAATCGGTTCCCCCTTTCCAACCTACCCTCCCAGTATCACCACTCACACCACTGGTCCTGAAGGGATCATCTGCCCTGGATTCCCTGTGTTTCCGGTTCCTGTCTGTACCAGTGGACATCCCTTGTATATTTTGTTTTCAAGGCACCTTACACCGCAGACCACCAGGCCCGGAGCCCTCGGAGCAAGACCTCATGGAGAGAGCGAGATCCGTCCGCCAGAGGCTGGCGGCGCGTGCAAGGGGCAGGTGTCCGGACCCCCCGCTTTTGGTATCTTAGGGGCCACGTGACCCGGAGACAGCGAGAGACTCCTGCATTGCAATCACGGACCTGATTCTTCTAGATTATTTATTTTAAATTCCTATTACACTCAGCTTTCGTATGGGAAAGCAAAACGTGTCCAACAATTATGTGTTCTATTTCATCCGGTACTTTGGGCTTGTAAATAGCTTCTGGTACTTTTACAATAAAATCTTTTTGAGCCATTGAAACTTGTGTAGGCTCCTCCAGGTAACGGCATACAGAGCTGCAGGTGAGGGTGTATTTTAAATTGCGTCTTCCCAAAGTGAGCGATACTGCCCCTTGCGGGGCTGGGCGGGCGCTGGAACGATCCCGGTGGCCTACTACAGAAGCAGCTACCTACACGACCCTGGGTGGTGGGCTAGTAGAGTACAAAGGTCTTTAGCTGCGAAGGGGCTGCCACGGAGTAATGCTGCTTCTGAAAAGGGGGTGCAGTAGGCCAAATAAGTTTCGGGACCTGTAGTTTAAAAGGTCATGGGCCCTGAAACACCCTTCCAACCTGGTACTGAATTCTGCCCTCACCAATGGATCACGCCACTCAGACCAGCACCAGCACCGGGGCACAGAGGTGCAGGAAAGGGGGTCCGGGCAGAAAAGGAAAGCTGGGGCAAAGGAAATGGAAGCCGGCAGGGCCTGGGATGGGGGCTGGTACCCTGAGGGGATTACAGGCAGGGCACAAGACCAAACACGTATAAATTGTCGGGTGGAAACTCCTGTTGAGTGGAACTTTCACCCAAATCACAACCAAACGTCGACACACCCCAAAGAAATCTCACAACTGTACAGCCTGGACCGAGCTGACCGGCAACTCCTCACTCACAGCGTGGACTGGACAGGACAATGGCACAGCTTTTCTGTCCCCCAGCACTCTGGGTGCCCCACCCCCACCCTTGCAAGCTTTGCCTCAAGCCACGCTCCTGTCCCTCCTGACACTCCCTCTGCACCCCACACCCCCATGCTGCTGTGTTGATGCCCAGGCGCATGCCGTGATCACAAAGCCTCTGAGTAAGGAAGTGCTCTCGGTTCCAATGAGGAAAGTCCTAGAACGGCAGACTGTCAGCCCAAGGCCCTCTGGGTCCCCAGCGGGTGAGCGACATGCCCTCTTTGGTCCTGCAGTGGGGGGCGTGGTGGGATCATGGGGACGCAGGAGAGGAAATGCATTGGGCGGGACTTCGGGGAACTGGAAATCGCTCCCCTGAATGCATCCACATGCTGACTGTGTGCCCACGACAGGCAGCTTGGCGGTGCCAGTTGGTCTCTCCTGGAGTTCCCTCTCACTAGTGTTGACACCTACCCAGAGTGGATCTCAGGAGCCCTGGTGAAGTCGTGGTTACTCACTGGGCTGCTAACCACTGAAGAGTTACAGTCTCAAAAACCCACGGGGGCGTGGGTTCTACCCTGTCCTGTGTGTCGACACTGACTTAGCATGTTCTTTTGCATGACGTGTCTGTCATCAAGAGGTCAGCAGTTTGAAACCACCAACTGCTCCTCAGGAGAAAGATGAAGCTTTCTACTCTTGTCAAGATTTG